ATGGGGTAGAAATGACTTGTAATGTGTATGGATTGACTAGCCACAATAAGAGGTACCATGCAAGAGATGATGCACCGATTGAAGTAAGTCACTACACTTTTTTTTTTAGTATGTTAAGATTTACTTGTACATCTTTCATAATATGTTACGGAGATTGCCTTTTTTTGATAGGATTGGTACGAGAATCATATGATAAGTCCCATTACTGATAAATAAAGATTCAATTTAATTTTTATAGTCCCATTATGGAAAAATTGCTGAGTTTATTTGCTTAATTTGTATTGAAGGCTGGTTGATTCATTTTTATTATATCTTTGTTGTTGTTCGTGTCATAGATCAAACTTGTACCTTAGAGGAGGAACATCATGCTAACCAACAAGGAACAGCCTTCAATATTAGAATTCATGTTCATGCCTATGCCCAGGATTGTTTTAAGTCAATCTGCAATCTTTAATAAGGCATGACCAGCTTTTGATGCACATGTAATTTCAAGAGATGTTGGGAAAAGAGTTGGCCACCCAAGATTAGTCATGTTCGGGTTGAGAGCATTTCTATTGATGAGTTGGTAAAAGACTTGCAAGAATTTGATGTTGAGGAGAACTCAAAAAGAAGATAAGCAACAGCTAGAAAAAAAGGAATTATGAGAGGTTCTGTTCCATTTCCTGAACCTCAAACCATAAGCAAGTGAAAACAAGATTCAACTTCTTTTTGTAATGCAATAGCACTACAACAAAAATACTCTTTTACAACACTTAAAAGGCAACATTTGTTGATAAATGTTGCTAAAAGGGTCTTTTAGCAACATTTTAGTAAGTGAATGTTGCCATTGGTTAGTATAAATGAGTTTTGGCAACGTTTTATAGAAAAATGTTGCGATAGACCCCCCATTTTGCAACGTTTATTGAGTGTTGCAAAATGTCTACTTTTCCCAATGTTTGTCAAAAGTTGCAAAAGGGTTTTCTTTCGCAACATTTGTCAAACGTTACAAAAGAAGCCTTTCGCAACGTTTGACAAACGTTGAAAAAGAAAACCCTTTTACAAAGTTTGACAACGTTCTCCTCCAGCCTCCATTTCAATTCGCACTTCACCGCCTCTGCCTCTGCTCTCCTCCTTTACGAGGAGGCATTGTGCCAGGATTTTGATCAAAAAGTGAACACCGCCAACAAGCTCACACAATCTGGGCAGATTTCAGAAAACCTGAGTTTGAGTGGTGCTTTAACCAAAAAAGCTGAGGAAATGGGAAGATCTGCTCTGTCAGCTTTCATGGCTAAGGAAGAGGATATTCAAACGAGGAAAATGGAGGTTCAGGAGAGAGTTCTAGCACAGAGGCGTTTGTCCACTGTCCGTGAGGTATTTTTTTGGGTTATTTCTACATTTTTTATATGGTTTGTTTTTATGGATCTGCAGGAAATTAAGAAGAGGGATTTCAGTCCTGAAATTTCCTTAATATTTTCCTTATTTTGTGAGATAATTTACATAATA